TTATTTTTGTTATTAAAGTTTATTCCAATAACTTTTTGTTCTCAGTCACCAAGTAAAAGGCACCAAGATCATATTAGAAGATCTATGCTGCCATCTAGTGGTAGTTTCTACCACTAGATGGCATTTACTATGAAAACACTAGTAAGGCGGTGCTGAAGATTTAAACAAACATGCAAATACATCTCCTCGTGCATGCAACCTGAGGTGCATTCAGGGTACTCAGATGAAGTTTTACCTCTTCTGTGCTCCTGGAGTATTTTCAGCGGTCTCCCTCGGCTCATCTTCAGCGAAAGTGATAAGGTCTGGTGTCTTAATGTCAGCCGCGCTGCTAGCTGTGGGGTGAGTGCTTGTGCTGTGGATGCTGTCCCCTGAGGCACTGGGATTCACATAAAACCTTAAAGAGAAAATAAAAGAACAGTGATATTTAAATTTGAGTTGCCACAAAGAATATGTTTGTGTGTTACAACACAGGAAAAATAAAAAATCTCATCTGACAGTTTCCTACCCGGTCATCGTGCGCAGGTCGTGAAACTCGATGTGCAATAAGGGAAGAAAGACCGTCTGACAGAAAGGACAGTTGGTATTGAGGTTGGAATCATCAGCTGTCCAGCCTGCCATGATCTCCTCGTCGTACACCAGCGCTTCACAGGAGCGACATTGGGAGCAACTGGACATCAGCACCTGTAAGTGGGATAACGCGTCAAACCCTGCTGTATTTTAAACATCAGCAGTGAGAGTGCAGCGCAAACAGAGACTCTGTTCATGCATGTCCTACCTCCAGTGCACAGTTCTGGAAAATACTCGAGGAGGAGGCGTGATGCGAGGAGCTTTGCTCAGAGTCAGGACCTCTGCCCGGGCGCCCTGGAATCAGATCTGCAGGCCGACATGAAAACAATATTGAAAGCTGGCATCACTGGCCTGAGAAGTACTTCGCTGCCCCTCCCTTGCTTCTTCATTTACATCAGAGAGTCAGTGCTTACGTGTCTGTGTGGTCCCTCGGCCCGTGTCACTGCTGCCGCTGCTGCTGCCGCCCAGGCTGGTGCAGCTCTGGTTCAGACCATTCGCCACCAAACCTGGGATGCCTTTTCTCTCAGGACTGTCATCCAACTCATGTGCAGCCAGCATATTTTCATCCAGACGAGCTGGGAAGCCGCCGCCACCAGCCTGAGCTTCATCCTGTAGAGAAAAGTTACTTTAAATCTTCCCTTTTATGCAGAACAGGCTGGCACACCTGTTCCATCAGATCAGATGTTAAACTGCCTAAAATGTCTGGAATGACCTTTTAATGACCCTCACCTCATCATCTGAATCGGCGTAAGCGGATGCCACTGCCCCCCACACTTTGCTGGCCACGTTTGCTGCCTGCTTCATGCTTGACTTGAGCACATCGATTTTAGGTCCTGTTAAGAACGTGTCCATCTTGATACCTGAAATGGTGTTAAAGACCGAGCCCAGCGACCCCCCCTGAGAGGACTTGACCAGTGCGGTCAGTGAGGACGATCGCTGGCCCGGGCTCGCTGTAGAGCTCGCAGGCGTCTTTGTCTTTACTGCAAAAGTCTTGGAGCGGGTTACAGTGCTGGGGCTGCGTTTGGGGGTGTTGCTCGGTGAGCCAGTTGGGGTTTTCACAGGAGGCACCGGGAGGCTGGACCTCCGCTCCAGAGTCTGTTTGG